TTGAGTTTAATAGTTACTTTTCTATTTCCCAAGTAAATTTCAGAGCTTCTAAGGTTTTTGTAATTTGTATCTTTTCTTCTTTGGAAAACTTGCCATTTTGCACAGATTTTGACTTTTCCTACTTATATGTATGGAGTTGAGGATGGAATGATATTTTTACTCATCCCTGTAGGTTTGCTCAGACATCAATTTAAGTTTTCATTCCTCACTCAATCTGTTAGAGATGTTTTCCCAACCTGATTATCTCAATAAAAAACAGTAATTCTAGGGTTTCCCTTCTGGTGCAGGTGCTAAAGACACAGTGCTATCAAGCTATCACCAGCCACTGCAGCAAGAGTTTACCAGACCTCTTCTGTCTCACCCAGTGCTCCCCTCAGAAGTATATTTCAGTCGATCTGCCTCTTTGGTTCTTGACACTGTCTCTGGTGAATCCTCTCACTCTCCCTGCACCTCTGGTCTACACCCCAGTTCTTGTCTGCGTAAATAAATAAATCTTTAAAAAAAAAAAAAGTAATTCTAATCCTAAACAATTTGTATTACTCCAGCAGAAGCGATCTCTCCTTCAACCAAATTTTAAGAGTAGTTTTTTTTAGTACATTTATTACTTCACCAACTAAATTTCCAGTATGGTGGAGTGGGAACTACGTGGAGCATACACTACTTTTAATGTTCTCTAGTAGTTAGCTTAGTGCCATGTCTTAAAAACAATGCTTAGTATGTTTTGGGAGACTGCTCAAAATAATTTACAGGATTATATATACAAAACTGCACAAATGGAGCTCAAAAGACTTCAGTAAACAGTTGTTCTTTCAATGTGTACAATCAAAGATTGCAAAAATTAACTCCCAAGATATATGTGAAGATTCTGACAAGAAATACATTCACACAAATTTTATAGAAAAGTCATGCAAATAGGCCACAATGAACTACGCTAGTGATCCAACTTTAGAAGATACCAATTCAGGTCTCTAAAATTTAACAAATCCCATGATAAATGATTCACCAAACTGGAATCAGTTCACACAACCTAGAGGATCCCACAAAGCTGGAAACACAAGCACTCATTACTAGATTCTTAGCAACAGCTGTTTTAATAGACCTTCTCGAATAGACCTGGACCAAAATAAAGACTCAAGTTCCCCCATCAAAGTAGAAGAAAGAAAAAGAAATAATTAATATAATTCATGAAACATGGTCAATAAATGCTATGATTCAATCCAATAAGAACATTCTTTCAATGAAGAAAATATTGAAATAGTAAGTATAACTAGTACTTTATAGTTAACTTTTATCAGTCTATAAGGAATATCTGCATTCCATTCTAGGAATTCATTTTTATTTGTACTGCTTAGAAATCCATTTTTTTTTCTCCATTGGACACGTTAAATGTAACATTAGACATAGTAGTATTGTAGTTGGTTATGTTTCTTCAATAATAATGCTTATAATCACCAACTACTTTCTTGAGCTTTAACTACATTTTTTTAATTATTTAACCAACTGAATCATGCTCTAAAATTCATGGTAGTGCCCCATTTTATGGAAGAGGAAAGTGTGGCCAAGTGGCTAAAGTCATTCCCCAGGCCACATAGCTATTAGAGGCAGGCTTGAGATTCACCAGAGTCCTCTTTAGTCTTAGGTTTGTGTTCTTTTCACCTTACTCTATTACTCTCTTCAAATACTCTTCTTATTCTACTAGTTTTTAATACTTTTAATTAAAAATAGCCAGTCATTAAAATATGTCAACATTACTTTTGTACGATCCACAAAAGATTCCAAATAGACAAACTATACCTGGAAAAAAAAAAACCACACAGACACACACACCGAGGCACTACACTCCCAGACTTAAATCATACTGCAAGGCTATCACAATCACAATATGTGGTATTAGAATAAAAATAAACACACAGATCACTGGAATAGAATTGAGAGCCCAGAAGAAGAAAAAAGCAATTTTTATTTGGACAGCTAATTCACAAGAGAAAAGCCAACAGTGCATAATGGAAAAGAAAGTGCCTTCAATAAATGTAGTTGCCAAAACTAGACAACCAATGCAAAATAATGAAACTAGACCATGACCCTACACCAAACAAAAAATAAAACTGAAATTAATTGAACACTTGAATATCAGGCCTCAAACCATAAAATACATACAAAAGAAACATAGGCAAAACACCCACAATGTTGGCTTCAGTGAATTGTTTGGCAATGGAAAAAAAATAGAGGAGTGGGACTACCACACACCAAAAGGTACAGCAAGATAAATTATCATTAAAACAAAAACACATCTTACTTAATGGGAGAAAATATTATCAATTATACAACTGACTAGAAGCTAATCACAAAGATCCTCAGATAACCCAAACAACTCAACAAGTAAATAAGCCCATCAAAAAACGGACAGAAAATCTGGGTAGGCCAAAGACGACATACAGATAGCCAACAGGCACATAAAAAAATGCTCATCGTCACTTCTTATCACTTCAAAACTACAATGCAATGCCATTCCATGACTGAGAGAATGGCCTATATCAAAGAGACCAGAAATGACAAGTGCTGGCAAGGTTGTGGAGAAAAGGGAAGCCTCTTATACTGTTAGTAAAAATATAAATTAGTGTAGCCTCTAGGGAAAACAGCATGGAGGTTTCTCAAAATACAGATAATAGACCCCTGAGATGATCCAGCAATCAACTCCCAGGTATCTACCCAAACATAAAAACACTAATTTGAAAAGATAAAAGCACTCCTATTCTCACTACAGCACATTAAAATAACCAAGTTATGGAAACAACCTAAGTGCCAAATGACAGAAGACTGGACAAAGAAGTGGTAAACACACAAGAGAACAATTCTCAACTATAAAAAGGAAAAGAAAGCTGAGACCTTGCTGTTTGTCACAAGATGGATGAAACTGGAGGGGATTATGGTAAGTGAAGTAAGTCAGAAGGAGAAGACAAATACTTGATGGTCTCACTCATGTATGAAATACTGAGAAACAAAAGAAAGGGTCAGACACCAACCAAAATAAATCCTAACAACCTGACTATAGAATGGAAGCTACCAGAGGAGGATGGAAAAAATGGGGAACAAGCAATGGAGAGACCCAAAAGACTACAGTGGGGGATCATTGATGCTTCAGCAGAGAGTGTTGTGGGGAAACATTTGAAGAGGATATCCCTAAATCATAGTGTTGTAAAACAATGTTACCTCAATTAAAAAAGAAAGAAAGAAACTAGGCTACAAAAGTTAAAACTCAAGGACTGATGTTCTCTCAGACAACCATAAGCTAATAAAGGTCCTAACTTGCTTGCTGAAGACCATATAAATGTTTTATTGACCTGGACAGAGTCCATGGTGAGGGGCAATTCACAAATTCACTGAAGTTTCAATTGTGCAAGTGGTTTAAACTATCTCCCCCACTGATGAATGACGGGGTGAGAAGGAAATGTTTAGGCCCAAATAATCATTTTTCCCAACTTCATGAGTTCACTCATATCTGTGTCTCTGGCCTTTATTCCCTGGGTGCTTTGGTCATAGTCTGCTGGGACCTCACCCCTGTGCTTCCTGCACCTCAGCTCAGCAGTCTAAAGGACAAACTACAAAACAGACACCAGGAAGGAAGACTGAGCAAGAGAACCTATTCTGCATTTTGTGGCAGTCCCTGAGAGCAAGAGGTTACAAATCCAGTGGACATTCTCCTTCTCGTATCTCCACTCCTTGATCCAAAATTTTAGTCATAATCTCAATGTCTACTTACAGATGGGAAGTTGGCAGAAGTAAACACAGTTTCTGGTTTTTTCCCTGGAGACACATACATATGCACACACACATACATACGTGGCAAAACAGATGCTAGATATTATTATTTCCTCTCTATAATTTGCAAATTCTCTGCAGTGAGTATGCATGTATTTCACAACTGATAAAAATCATAACCATCATCTAAACATTTGTTTCTCTTCTCTCCCACTGCTTTCTCACAGAAGTTTGCATTACTTTTAACTCAGCTGCATCTTATAAAGCAACAAACAAGAATAAAACCTAGAACAGGGATGTTTAAGAGCAAAGTGGCAGGAAAAAATTCATTGGTATAGTTACTATTATCAGAAGAAAAATAATTTAAATAGAGGAATAGATAAAACCATCTTAAATTCTCAAAACCTATTTGGATACATTATGAATCTAATAAGCATGCATAGATAAAATAAGATATTTAGGTGCTTCAGCCACCTACAGCCCAAAGTTTGATTTTGAAAAATACAAGCTAAGCTCTTTTAAACTGGCAATAGCAATCAAATTACTATAATTGCACTTTATAATGTTCCATAGCAGCAAATAACAATAACAACAACAGTATATCAACAATGCATGTCATTTATTGTATGCTTTCTAGGGATTAGACAAGGGTTAATTGCTTTTAATTATGAGTTAAAATTCAATCTCTTAGACTCATCTAAGCAACCCAATGGAGTGCTTTTCTTTTTTTTAATCCCCATTTCATGGATGAAGAAACTAATTGCTTTTAATGCATAATCTCTTACAATTATCAAAGGCACTCAATGGTGAGTACTTTTTCTAAGTCAATATTTCATGAATGAAGATACTGAGATTGGCTAATTTGAGCAAAGAGCAGCATTGGGACTCAAAATCAGTGCTATCTTAAGTACTATGCTAAACCCAAAAGGGTTTAATGTTATTAAAAGCAGATAAACTGACATCTATGATTAATATTTTGAGATAATCACCTTCTAGGGATGGACCAGAAATTTGATGATAACAGCAGCAGAAGTAAAAATGCTGTCAAAGGTTTTCACTGATTTCTATTTGAAATCTATATTTCTGAAGTAAAAAAAAAAAAAAAACTACATTCTTTATTGCCCATGTATTTCATGATATCACATAAAGCAAATTATGTGAGTATTTGGGGAAAGTATGTATGTAAACCATAACTTTGCAGTCACACTATGAGCATAAAAGTTTATAACTCTGAGCCATACCTTGGTCTTCATAAACTTGGAGTGACTTTTGTAAACCTCTATTTGTTTGATCTCTTCTTCGCGGTCCTCAGTGTTCAGCACACCATTGGCTTTTAACATCTGGATCTCATCCTCAAGATCCCTTATGTTTCGCTCCAATGAAGCGATTTTTGTGTCCTAGTGGTTAAAAAAAAAAGAAGAAAAGAATGAGAATTGCTTTTTCAGTATCATCAACACAGAATTTCAAAAAGCAGTTTTGGTAGAAATAGTTTATAGAGAGATTTGAGCCTGAATTCAGATCAATTTATTTTTTTTAAGTTCTGAGGATCACTTGTGAAATTAATTTTTAAGCTGACAATAAAGACTATTTATCATTACAACATAGTTACCTAGATGTTTGTCTAATATCTGGGAATCAAACTACCAAAGCAACAATGACAAAAGGGATTGAAAGTGTTAAAAAAAATCATTAAGTAGACAGATTTGTCATTTCAGATACAGTTTACCAGGATATACTTCTGAGTCTACTGTAAACACAAAAGCGGTTTGTTCATGTGTATATTCTGTGACTGGTTTTATAAGGCATGCTTGGAATTTGACTCGGGGAGAGAAGGAAATTAAAATCTACTAATGGGGGGAAAGGATTCTCATGTAAAATACAGGCATAAGTAAAATTAAATACTGAATCTTGACTTAGTATGACTGACACACTAAATGTTGAAAATTTATAGCAACTGGAAATAATATATCATAATGTCATGATTTATTTGGCAAGCAGTCAACTCCCTGTGTGATAAAAAACATTACTAACTTGCAGGGCATTTCTAATCTATTGATTTACAGAGTCAAAAAATAGAAATATTACACTCAAATGTGGGAATAAGTGAGGAAAAAAAACCATAAAATTTAAAAAAAAATGACAAACTCAGCACACAAGATAGAGCAAATAAATGATGCATTAGAAAGTGGAGAAGAGAGAACTCTTTGAGGTGGAAAGAAAAACATTTCCCCAAACTTAGTGATTAGACTCAAATCAATCTTTAGAATAAAATATGTTACATGTTTGACTTTAATTTTTCTCACTGACACTACCTACCTACCATTTTTATTACTTGGATTTACATTTGTAAGCAAATGTAAATGAAAACTATTTTTTTCTCACCATTTCTACTTATAACGAACTCATATTTTAAAGTCATTGCTACAAATATGTTCATCCTGACTTTGTGACTATTTTACTATATGCCCATAGCAATATATTATCATTGACATTGTGATTATTATTAGAAGAAAAAAATGAGGAGCAGCAACAGCTGTGATTTGTGCTCTACTATATACCAATATCTGGGTGTGCTAAGTGTGGAACCACTTATTCCAGGAAGAAAATAAAGCAAGAAGAATCTGAAATTTGCAAGATTATTAAAGAATATGACATTCTGTAGTATTTCATTTTCCTTTACAAATAATGCTTACTGATTTTTCTCCAGCTACAAAAGTAATACCCTTTAAATTCATAGAAATGGAGAAAATGCCCTCTAGCCCTACCACCAAGAGACAGCAATCATAAGCATTTTCTTTCATGTAGAACCTGCAAGACTTTTTCTATTTTAGATGCAATTTCTGAGCGTCTTGTATAGTGCCAGATTGAGCAAGGGGAACGTTATCGCCTGAAGTTTCTTTGCCATCAAAACTCATATGCTGAACTACTAACCCTCTGATGTGATAATATTTGGAAGTGAGGCTTCTGAGTGACAATCAGAATAAGATATGGTCATAAGGATGAGGTCTTCATGATGGAATTAGAGCCCTCATATAGAAACAAGGTTGTTTCTATAACTTGGTTATTGTAAATATCCTGGTAATGAACATAGGTATATATATCCCTTTGAATTAATGTTTTTACATTCTTAGGTAGATATCTAAAAGTCATTTTGCTAGATCCCATGGTAGACAATTTTAAATGTTTTGGGAAAGCTCCACACTTTTTCCATAGAGTCTGAAGCAGTCTACATACTAACCAAAAATGCGCAAGGGTTCCTTTCTCTCACACCCTTCCCAACACTTGTGTTTGGTCTTTAGTTATGGGCCATTATCACAGGTATGAGATGATATCTCAATGTGGTTTTGATTTGTACTTGACAAGTGATGATAACCATTTTTTTTCCTGTGTCTGCTGCCATCTGTATGCCTTATTTGGACAAGTGTCTATTTAGCAGTTCTACCCATTTTCTGATCAGTTTAAGAGAAACAAAACAAAGGAGCAGTCAAATCTAACAAGTCCCAGAAATCTATGAGGCTACCAGAGGGGGTCAGGAAGCCAAATGAGGAGGAGGCCCAATGGATGATGATGAAGAATGATGGTGCTTTATTGGTGGATATGGGACCCTGCAACTTAAGAGATGAGAGCCTATACTCCTAAATCATAGACAGTGCTATAATGTTAACTTATTTTTTTAATGCCATAAAAAGTAAAAAGAAAAAGACACCAGGAAGTTACTTTTCTTTCTCTGTCCACCATGAGAGAACACAACAAGAACCCAACCACTAGTCATCCAGGACGAAAGCCTTCAACAGAAGCCTACCACCTGGCATATTAATGTCAGACTTCCAGTTCCCAAAAATCTGAGAAAATAAAATCTTGTTATTTAAGTCACCCAATCCATGGTATTTTACCTAAATTGGTAACCTAAATTGATCATGTAGAATGTTATCCTTAGTAATTCACTTGGCACTTGGCTTTGAAGCTATAAGAACTCTACAGATAAAAAGAACAATAATAAAATCGCTATAGAAAATGAACTTCTAAAAGTTTGTAAGTGCCTTCCTAAATAAATGATTCGTTTTAAATCAATATTTTTCTGACCGTAAAATTGATACATGTTCAGGGCGCTCTCTGGTGGCACAGTGGATTAAAGCACAGCACTTAGAACCTAACACCACTTCAACATGGATTCAAACCCCAGCCCCAGGGGTGACCCACATGGTGCGGCAGACTGCTCCTGACCCGCCCACTGCTCCCCTCAGCAGTGTACTTCCTCAGTTGGCCTGTTCTGCTCCCCACTATGTCTCTGGGGAATCCTCTCGCCGCCCCTGCACCTCTGGCCTGTACCTCAGTTCTGTATGCATAAATAAATAAATCTTTTTAAAAACTGATACATGTACATTATAGAAACCTTGAAAAGCTCTAAATAATTATGACTGTCCATATAACATCATCCATGCATACCCACTAGTAGCATTTTTACTTACCTCATGAAAGCCTTAAGGTGACATAATTACTTTAAATATATAAAAAGATAGATATCCATTACAACTTCAATCAATTGGTTGTAGATTCCCCTTCATTATTTAGATACAAGTTGGTCATTGTGCTTTTCAACAATCTAAACACAACTGTTAATTAAGTGTGAAAGGAAGGGCCACATCCCTATTTTTCTGCTGTAAAACATTCTGGTATATCAGGCCCAAGTAAAAAATTACCATTATTTAGACACATACATACACACATATATGTGTACGAGCAGACATACAGGTATATGTATATTAATATACTTCTATAAAAGTATACATTCATGAATGTATTGTGTATACATATCCATACATATACATGTGTGATGTATGTGAACATGTAATACATGTGTGTACATGTGTGTGCCATAATTTACTTTACAAACCTCATATACTATACCTTAATTTTTTGACAACACTTGGTAGAATTGCAGATCTCCATCAAGTAGGTAAATGGAGAATAAACTCAACTTTTCTCTCAATCAGATCCTGAGGCTTTAGTTAGCAGTGACCATATCTGTCAAGTAATTCTAAATAGGTTAGGAGTTTTTCACTGGGCTTTTAAAAACTGCATAATTTCCTTAGCACATATTGCTAAAGAAAGATCAAACGTAGATTAAGATAGTTTCTTAATGCAAAAGGCCCTCTTTACCTATGTACAGCTTTAAAATTTCACAACATGATGACACATAATTTGAAATATTTTTAACTTTGAGTAATTTTCTCAAATTAATGAACATCTATCTTCTCAAATGTCTCTTTCCCTTAACAGAGGTACACCAAATAAATAAATGAAAATATTTAAAAGGAAAGAAAAGCCTTAATGTGGTGAAGTGAGGGGTAGAGATGTTGCCTTTCACAGCCATGAAATGCACTAAGCTTCACCACTAGTAGCCCTGACCCACCAGAGAAAAACTCAAGTAAAGATGTGTAGTGATAGCCTGAAAAGCAGTTTTAGAAGAAACTGCTTTCTTCTAAAGAAAGAATTTTCTTTCTGAACACTTTTACATGCTACTTGTAACTGATATTTTTTAAATATTTTTTAATATTTATTTATGTATACAGAACTGGGGTATAGGCCAAAGGTGCAGGGGTGGTGAGAGGATTCACCAGAGACAGAGTAGTGAGCAGAACAGACAGACTGAAGAAGTACAATGCTGAGGGGAGTAGCAGGCAGTTCAGGAGAAGTCTTCCATACCATGTGGATCACCTCCAGGGCCCAGGATTGAACTCTCACTGAAGCAACTGCAGCCAGCTTGCAGTGTTGCATCCTAACCCATTGTGCCACCAGCGAGAACCTATTTTAAAACTATTTATGTAGAGATTTTCAAATATTCAACTTCTTTATGTTTCACAAATAAGCAAGTTCTCAATGCAGATAATCATGAGCTTCCTTAGAGAAATGGGAACATAGGATAGTTTTCCCAAAGTCCACAGAACTAAAATGCTATGGAAAAAGGAGATGGTATGGTCAAATGAGTTTGATAAAAGCTTATTGGGGATTCTGAATTCACATCTCCATTCAAAGCTCTAGGAAGTCCTATAGTAAATTATTTATTTAATTTGATTTTCCTGGTGTTATTCATCTAGAAGTCAATTCTTGAAAAGAATAAGACTTTAACGATATGTTAAGCTCAAAGTGATATACTAACTCTGCTGCTAAAACAATGATTTGGATTATCAAAGGAAAAAGGGCCATGATTATCCCAACTTTAAAATACTGAGGCTTAAATAAATATCCAGATTAGCTTGTCAGTTCTGTTATTCAAAAATGACTTACTGGAAGCTGCTCTGAACCAAGAGCAGTGACAGAATTGATGTGAACTCCCCATGCTTCTTGAATTCACCACCTCCTCCTATAAGGTGACATTTTTAAATAGCTTAAGGTA